GGTCACAAAGAAATTGCTCTATGTTTATTGTTTCACTTTTCACACTTGTCTATGACCCAGTTGGAACGTATTTCATAGATGGTGTAAAGTAGGAGGAAAGTCCAAATGTCATGCTTTCTTCATCTGAATCGCTAAGGGTTGTAGCACCATTTATGGACGATGCCCATTCCCTTCTGAGTCACGTCATAGGGCAGTGCTCCATTCTGTTCCCCTGGCCCGTAGACCCTGGCACTAATGCCACCGTTCTGACTGGACCTCATCTGATGCAGAGTGGTCGGTCCTCCATGGGGTGCACTTGTAGATGTCTTGGTAACTGCGTTTTCCGCTGAATTTTAGAGCCAGCTTGTCAATTTACACACACACACAGAAATCTGAGACTTTATGGAATCCATTAACCAATTTGAGGATACTATTTTCCCCAAGTTTTCTGATAACTTTTATGTCTTTCTATTGACATATTTCTGTCCTCTTTGAGTACCCCTTTGGCTCGTGTGTTATTTAGAAGTGTGTTGTGTAATTTCCAGATATTTAGGGATTTTCAGATATGTTTCTATTATTAATTTCTTGCTTAATTCTGTGGTTGTCAAAGAAGACCATTTAATAATTAATTATATTTTCTTTCAAATTTACAAGGTTTATTTCATGACAGAATATGATGGTGCCACTTGGTGAGTGGTCCACGCCTCCTGAAGAGTTTATGTTTTGCTATGGTCAGTTGAAGCACTCCATAAATGTCACTTAGCTCTCGTTGCCTGATAATCTTGTTCAACTCACCTACATTCTTAATTTCATATTTGTTCTTTTTTGTTTGTGTGTTTTTGTTTTTTTGCCATGAGGTGTATGAGGTCAGTGAAGATAGAGGAAGAGAGAGAAAGTGAGAAATCAGCTCCTACGGGAAATGGTCACACTGCAATCTCTTCCCCTCCATTCTCTTCTTGGGATTTTTGGCACACACACACATGCCCAGTGTGGTTTTCAAGCCACCAGGTCCAGGACTCAGATCACGAAATCAGCCCTGTGGGGTTCTATGCCTTTACCACCATGGGACTGCTGGTCTACTTGTTCTTTTAATTTCTATAGAGATGAGTGTTAAAATCTCCCAATACAATTTTCACTTTTCTCAGGTTTCCCTTCATGTATTTTGGAAGTCTGTTATGTGCATACACAATTAGGATGATATAATTTCCTTTTATCTGTAATGAGCATGAAAGAAGAGGATATAATGAGATACAGGCATTTTTAACAGAGACTCACTGTCGTGGTCCTCTTTCCCAGCCTCCCATTTAGGTGAGATCCCATTTAGGGTGCACTGCCATGGCCAACATGCTCAGGCTGGCCTGGGATGCAGGCCTCCCTGAGGGGCCGTCTTGCACAGCCATGTCCTACCACCTGTACCACTGTGGCGGGGACGGTTTATCAAAAATTTTCCATCCTTTTACTTTTAGCCTACACATTTCTTTATATTTAAATCAGTTTCTTATACACATTACATCACTGACTTGCTTTTTCTTATCCAATGAGACAATCTCTGCCTTTTTTCTTTTTTGGAGAGGTTTTTGCTATAGGGCGCGTGCGCTCGCTAGACAGAGAGAGACAGAGAGATAGAAAGCAAGAAATCACCCCCCAGGGGGATGGCCACGCCGCAATCCATTCTCCTCCATTCTCCTCTCAGGATCTTGGGCACGCATGCGCCCAGCATGAGTTTAAGCCACCGGGTCTGGGACATGAACCGTGGTCGACTACGTGGGAGTCCAGCGACATAGCCATTATGCTAACTGCTGGTCTCAGACAATCTCTGCCTTTTAACATGGGGTACTTAGTCTATGTATATTTAATGTAATTGATATACTGAATAACTAAATTTAAATAAACTCTTGTTAATACTGTCCTTGTTTGGTTCCTTTTTTATGCTTTTCTGCCTTTTTGTATTAAAATTATATTGCATATTTCTACTTTATATCCACTATTGACTTATGACTTATTCTGAAGCGGGCCAGCTTGAGGCTTAGCAGGACTGCAGCCATTCTGAAATTCAGAAAGGCTTCTAACAAGAACAATCTGACCAAGTGCTGAGTCATAGGGAGGTCTGTTTGAGGAACTGTTAGGTGAGAACCCAAGAACTGGTATTTGAAGTAAAACAAGAGTCAGAATAACTGCTCAAAGGAAAGAAATTGACTTTGATGGTAGTAAGGAATGATTTGCACCTGCTTGTATCTCACATCTATAAATACTGTGCACATGCTGAGCTTTTTGAGACAGTTGGTAGTACTTGCTGTCTATGTCCCTGCAACCTGATTGCAGAAATAAACGCCCTTCCTCTCTGGCCTCTGCTTCTCATTTCATTGACTGTGAGTAAAAGCAGCAGACTTAGTTCACAGGTAACAATACCTATCTCCTAATTTATTTAGTTCTTACTCTAAAGATTGCCATACACACCACTAACTTATCGGAGTCTACTTTCGAGTATTAGGCTACTTCAAGCATAAGAATTTTGTAATGCTACTTTCTATTGTTCCATCCCATCCTTTGAGCTGTTTTTGTTATACTTTTATCAATTCCAAAACCCAGTTGCTATCTGCTTTAGGCAATGGATTTTCTTATAAAACAATATAAAGTAAAACTCTTGTCTCATAGTCACTTATTTTCACTCTTGCTCAACATTTCTTTGTACACCAGAGCTCTTCATTCATCTGGTTTCATTTTGCTGCCTCAATAACCTCCTTCAATATCTTATTTTGAAGGTCTTCTGGCAATGAATTCTTTTAGCTTTTGTTGTCTGAAAATTTTTCACTTTGCCTTCATTCTTCAAAGACATAGTCACTGGTATGGAGTTCTAAGTTGACGTTTTATTCTTTTAGTATCTTAAGGATATGGCTGCATTGTCTTCTGGTTTGCCTACTTTTTGACACAAAGTCTACCTGATGTCTGTATCTTTGTTCTACTGTATTTAATGTTACCTTTTTTCTTTGTCTGCTTTCAAGATCTTCCCTTTATCTTTGGTTTTCAGAAGTTTGGCCACCGTGTGTGTGTGTGTGTGTGTGTGTGTGTGTGTGTGTGTGTGTAATCCTATCTAGGACTCCATAAATCCCGTGTCTGTGCTTTGTTGTTTTCCATTAATTTTGAGAAATATCTCAATCCTTATCTCTTCGAACATTTTTTATATGTGTTTTTCTATCTCCTCTCCGAGGATTCTAGTGATTTTTTTAATTCCATTTGATACTATCTCACAGCTTTTGCTGCTTTGTTTTGTTGTTTATTCCTTTCAAAATTTTTCATTCTTATTTTTCTTTGTCCTGCTTCAATCATTTCTATTGATCTATCTTTAAGTTCACTAGTTCTTTCTTCGATAATGTCCAGTTTTCTTTTAAACTTGTGAAGAAATTCGCCTTTGACATGCATTTTTAACTTTCCTAGTATTTTCATTCAACTTTTAAAAATAACTGCCACTTCCCTGCTGGTCTGCTCCTGCCAGCTGTCCAGCATTTCCAGATCGTTCTGTGGATCGCAGCTTTTAGAAAGTCCTGTGTGATCAATTTAACACCTGGGTCATTTCTCAGTCTACTTCTGTTGATTGATTTGTCTCTTAACAATTAGGTTTTTTGTTTGTTTGGCTTTGCTGTGTTTTGCTATTTTTCACTGAACGATGAATGTTTCATTTAGAAAAGTAGAAGAGACCAAGATAAGTAAGGTTTATGCCCGGAAATGGCGTCTTTTTTCCCGTCAGTCTGTGTCCGTGTGCGTGTGAATGTGTCAACCTAGTCAGTCATCTAGTGGGGTACTGTTAGAGTTATTGTCGACACCACCCTCCCTCTCCTCCAGTGGAGGGCTGGGTTTCTTTTTTGCACTGCAGTGTCTGTGGTGCTAGTGGATTTTTCTCAGTGCCCCACGCCTCCCTTAGCCTCCCCCTCAGCCCCCAGCATGCCTGTATCACAGAGGGGCCTCTCTTGCTCTTCCTCTGCAGATTGTCCTTGCGTTACTCGGTACAGGCAAAGGCGTTGTTGCTTCTTTCATCTTACCTCTGTTTTTGGCACCTGGGCCTTGTGAGTGGAACTTAAACATCTTCCTATCCCATCTGCCTCACCCCAAGGCAGCCAAGCTGTGCCTGGCATCTGAGCTGGGTCTTTGGAACCAAGTGTGTGAGGGCTTCTACTCTTCCTCCAGAGGCAGGCAGGGTGTGCTGACTCTCCTCTGACAGGCCATGAGCCTCTGGGCGGGATTCTTCTTCCAGTCATGTAAGGCGCATGCCTCATGTAAGAGAAGGGCCTGGCAGTGGACAGGCCGTGTGCCTATCTCCTAGTGGCAGCTGATCACTTCCAACTTGCTGCCCCACTAAGTGTGGCTGACTGTGGTCTTCTTTTATGCCCCCAAGATGTCCTGTATTGATGCCATGGGGCCTGCGGGCAAGAGCTGGAGAGCACATGCAGACTCCCCCCTGTGTGGAACACCAGGTTCTCCTGAACAGTCATGACAGTCTTCCTTCAGCCTTTGTGAGTTTGTTAAAGCTTTATCTGCGTTCTTCTTCTTTTTTCTTTTCTTTCTTTTTCTTTTCAGAGATTTTTTGCTATAGAGTACATGCGCTTGCCAGAGAGACAGAGACAGAAAGTTAGAAATTACTCCCAGGGGGATGGCCATGCTGCAGTCCCCTCTCCTCCATTCTCCTCTCTGGATTTTGGCAGGCATGCACATGTGCCCAGTGTGAGTTTCAAACCACAAGGCCTGGGACTTGAACCACAGTCAGCCATGTGGTAGTCCAGCTATGTAACTGCAACACCATCTACTGGTTCCTGTGCTTTCTTCTTACACGTTTCTATAGTGACTACCTCCAGACATTCCGAAAGGTGAAGCCATTTGTTTGAACCATCTCTCCTGAAAGAGGTTTATCACCCTAGAATTCATTTGACCTGTTTGCTGGGGAAGCTCAGCTCTGGAATGGTCTCAGAAGAGTCATTTTGAAGATTATCTGGCTTTCTCTCACTGCCATGGTAGGAGTAACCATCTCTTGTGGCATTCTACAGACTAAACAGAAGGTCTTTCAGAAAAGACTTTTGAGTAAAATTGTTTTAGAAAATATATGACTATTAAGATCTTCCTCTTCATCCTTGGTAAGTTCGTTTTTCTATTATTTTGTTCATTTCCTCTAAATTTTCAAATTTTGGCATCCAGCTATTCATAATATTCTGTTATTATCTTTTTACTTTTATTTTTTAGTTTTGAGAGATTTTTGTTACAGGGCACATGAGCTCACTGGAGAGCAGAGACAGAGAGACAGAAAACAAAAAGCCACCTGCCAGGGGAGGTGGCCACATTACAATCCCTTCTTCTCTATTCTCCTTCTGGTGTTTTGGACACACACACACACACACATGTGCCCCATGTGAGTTTCGAGTAGCCAGGTCTGGAACTAGAACTGAGGTCAGCCATGTCAGAGTCTAACGCCTTACCCACTATGCCACCTGCTGGCCCCTTTACTTTTATTTTTTACACCATTAGACACATGTGCATGTGAGAAAGAGCCAGAGAAACCCCCCCAAGGGGCCTGATCACCCAGGTCCTTTTTCCTTTAAATCTCTGTCAGGATCCCAGACATGTACATGTGTGCCCCCTGTGTGTTTTTAAAGCCACCAGGGCCAGGACTCAAACCCTAGTTGGCAACATGGGATCTGGCTTCTTCTGCATAGCACTTTACCACCACTGTGGGAGCAGCCTGTCTTTCTGCTTGAATAACAAGGTCAACAGAAGTCTTGCCTTTTTTCATTCCTGAGATTGCTTTAGTCATTTTGTTTTGTTTTTCTGTTTTTCACTTGTTCGATTTTTTTTCTTTTTCTTTTTTTGGAGAGGTTTTTTTTAATTGGGCGTGTGCGCTCGCCAGAAAGACAGTGAGAAATCAACGCCCAGAGGGGATGGTCACACCACAATCGCTTCTCCTCCATTCTCCTCTCAGGATCTTGGGCACACATGCACATGCACCTGGCATGAGTTTAAGTCACCAGGTCCAGGACTCGAACCACGGTCAACTACATGGGAGTCCAGAGACATAGCCATTACGCTAACTGCTGGTCCCTCACTTGTTCGATTTTAACAAACTTTCCAAAGAACCTCCTCTTGGCTTTGGTGACACCCTGTATTTTGTACATAGTTTTCTCATTTCATTCATTTCTGTTCTTATCTAAATATTTCATTTCTTCTAATTTCCTTGGAATTAACTTCTTGTTTATATTCTAACTTCTGGTAACATAAGCTTACCAATTTTCAACTTTTTTTATTTTATGATAAACATATTTATAGCTATTAAGTCCATCCATGCATGGTTTAAATATGCCCTGCAAGTTTTTTGTTTGTTTGTTTGTTTTCAATCTGCCAGAGGATGGATGTACTATTTAGAGAGAGACAGAGAAAGAAAGAGAAAGTGAGAAAGCACCTCCCATGGGGGATGGTCACACCACAGTCCCTTTTCCTCCATTTCTCCTTCCTGTCAGGATTTTGGATATGTGTATACATGTGCCTGCCATGTTTTCTAGCCACCAGATCCAGGACTCAGATCACAGGGTTGGCCATGTGGGAGCCAGCCACCTTAACCACCATTCTGCTAGCTGACTTACCCTGTAAGTACTTACATAATACATTCAGTTCGCATATTTCTACTGTGATATCTCCCTTGACCCATGGATTATTTAGAAATATGTTTAGGGACCAGCAGATGGCGTAGTGGTTATGTTGCTGGACTCCCATATGGCCGACCACAGTTTAAGTCCCAGACCTGGTGGCTTCAAACTCACACTGGTTGCGTGTGCTTGCATACCCAAGATCCTGGGAGCTGAACAGAGAAGGGACTGCAGCATGGCCATCCCTCCAGGAGTGATTTCTCACTTTCTGTCTATCTCTCTCTCTTTGGCCAACACACATGCCCTATAGCAAAAATCTCTCTCTCAAAAAAAAGTATATTATATACTTCCAAACTAATGGGAATATTCTAACATTTTGTCATATATTTCAACTAAGTAGATTGTGATTAGAGAATATACCCTGTATGATTTTAATTCTTTAAATTTTGTGGCTACTTGCTATAAAAAAGCTAGTACATAGTAAATTTTTATATTATGAAAATATTATATAAGTTGTTATTTAGTGTACTGTTTGATACACACACACACACACATACATAAATATTAATTGGATTGACTTTATTCCTTGTTTTGGTCAATTCTTCTATATTGTTATTACTTTTTCAATTTGTTCTACTAATCCCTGAGAGAGAAATGAAGACTTTCCACTACAATAGTGAATTTATCTACCCTTTTGTAGTTAGTTCAGACAAATTTGGCTTCACATATCAACACTTTGAGGCTGTTTGGTATACCCACATTTAAAACTGTTACACCTGGGTGGTGAATGAACCTTCCATCAGTCTCCAGGGCCTCGGCAGACAGAGTGCTCTCTGTTCTACTCCTCGGAACTGTCCGTCCGTCTTTGAACCAACCACTGAAGTCTCTCAGACTTGGAACTGAAGCTGCTCAGGTTCAAATACGGACCCCACTACTGTGTGTCCTTGGGAAAATTCCTTAACCTCTTTATGCCTTTCTCTCATCATGTGTAGAACATGTAACAGTGCCGCCCGGAGGAGTAAGAGTACCTTAATTAACATAATGACCTCAGATTAGTATCTGGTATGCAGTCAAAGCTCAAAAAAAGTTCGCATTAATATTCTTTACTTGCTTAACCTGGGGGTGTTTTGACCTCAGTGTCTTTTATTTCAGACCAGCTGAATGTCAGCAGCAGTCTCTTCAAAAAGAGACCTTCTCGTTTTGAAGTTCAGGATCTAGACTGCGGACAGGCCAGGACGAGCCTCTGCCCTCAGCTGCGTGACTGTGACATAGAACAGGTTTAGACAGCGCGCTCTGGTTTCAGCAGTGTGGTGAGGACAAGAACACCCAGGCATCTTAGTCTGCTGGTCTGTAAGAGACCAAACCAGACTTGGTCCTGGTAGTCAAGGCTCCGTGGTGGTGGGCCCCGTCCTGGACGCCATGCAGATGGCAGACAGACGGGCTCTCTCCTCCGGGTACTGCCCTGCAGGGCAGATACAGTGCTCCACCTGCCAGCGCCAGGGTGACCCCTCGCTCCCTGCATGGACGCCGCGGCACTGAGTCTGCACCGAGTCAGGCGGATGAGGCCAGCGGGGCCGAGCCTGAGCAAACGTCCTATTGTCCAAAGCCCCTCCTCTGGCTATTTAGGAAGCTCAGGGAAAAAGCAAATCCTACCCAAACAGATTACCTCTTGCCGAGAGTGGTTACAAAGAAGCCGGACACAGTGGGGAGATGGACGTGCCCAGACTCTCTGGTTCTCTCCCCACAGCTCACAGTGCTAAGGTGGTGTCTATGATGGTTTGGGAACAGACAACTCGCGGCCCTTCACTGAGACACCTCACTCAGCCCTCCCCCAACACCTGCTCACGCCTGGCCAGGCCACCGAGTGTAATACAGGACGAGGGTCCCTAACCTGGCCGCTATCACAGAAGTCATTGTTGTTCTTTTTGTAATGGTTTATATGGAACATCAGAACGTACAGGAAAGTAGAGACAATAAAAGCACCCACGTGCTGACCGTCTGGCTTTAGCCACTGTCGCCCCGTGTCCTCTGAGGGCCCCCCCCCGACATCCACTCAGCCCCGGATTACTCAGATGCTAATGCATCACTTTTATGATGGCCTGGAAATGCACGATACTGACTCCTAGCCTACTGCTCTGATTCTCCGATCCGGTGAGTCAGCGCTGGGACCCAGGCTGGGACCTGCAGTGCGAAGGAAGGAGTCGGGCTTCAGGGCGAGAAAGCCAGAGTCCGAGTCCTGGCTTTGCCCAGCCTTGGTAACTTTGGGTGAAGACTGTCTTCCTGGATCGTCTGTCTTGCAGGATCACCACCTGCGAGCAGTCCCCTGAGACCCTGGGGTACCTTCCCATTAAGGAAATGCTGTCAGGTCTGGTGTCCCTCGGCCCTCCCTTGTCCTGGCAGGCAGCCCAGGCAGGGTATCGTGGGAGTGATCCTGCTTCCAGTTGCGTCTACGAGACTGCTCCACGCTGGGTCCCCCTCTTGCATGCTACCTGCAGCTGGAGGGTGCGGATCAATTTCCCCAGACTAAACCAAATCGGCACGTTCCACAGCTGGCATTCGGCGGCGCGGTGCTTATGAAAAAGCAAGCCTCACGGAGCGGGCCGCCCGGAACTGAGCTGGCCTTCGGTGTGCTCAGCATTTCTGTAACAGAAGTCTGCAGCGCCTAGCCACGAATAAGGCTTTTTTTTCTGGGTTACTTAATTAAATGGAGTTTAGAGGGAAGGAACATAAATAAACAAGACAAGCAAGTTAGGGCACATGTTTAAACTAGAATGAGAACAGAGAGGTTTCCTGAGGCGGAACGTGGTTCTGATCAGCACGACTTTATTTAGTGCAACACTGCCCCCGCCAACTGTGTCCTGCTTGTTCCCGGAGTTAAACGCCAGCTTCCACGGTGACAGCGAATAGCGGAGGAAGACCCTGGGGTGCGCGGTCGGAGGACTTGCCCTCGAACCCCCGCATGTCAGAACGGAAGGAGCCGCACGGCCACACTCACGCCCTCCCAAGACCCAGCTCAAGAGCGAGCCATTTGCTGAAGGCCGCACAGCCAGCTGGGGGAGAGCAAGAGCCCGCGTCCCTCCCAGTCCAGGCCAGACCTTTCTCCTTCGAGGCATCTCGGGTGTGGTGAGAAGCGGACGACATGTCGGGATGGACCACCTGAGCTCAGACCCACTCTCGGCCCATCCAGCTGGCTGACCACCTCTGGCAGATGAGCTAAATCTCACAGGGCCTGTGCCAGCAGGTTCCAGTTGGACAGAGCCACCCAGTGAGGCGCTCTGGAGGGGCCACTTAAAGGGGATGATCCGAAGGGATAGGCGGAGCATGGGGAAGGGCAGGAGCCCGGGGCTGGCACGAGTGCAGCTGTCACCAGGTCAGAGGAGCGAGGAGTGTGGGCAGCCGTCAAGCCTGCAAAACAGTGGTGTCCTCAGGTGGGGGACCCAGCAGGCCATGGTCACATCACAGGAGAAGGCTGGGACACAGCCACGCCCTCACTCTGCCCTCCCTTCCTCCATTCTTCTGATGAGGGTCTCACTGGCTAAAAGCTACTCCCAGCCAAAAGCCACAGAACGTGAGTGCCTATCAGTGCGGTGCAGGGAGACCTGTCCCTGGGGTGGAGAGCATGCCGGCCATGCTTCCTGTGACTTGGGCTGGCTCCCCTGGGCTTCTGGCCAGTGACAGGAGTGGGCCAGAGCTCCTCGACCCCTCCCCTGGCCAGCATTTAGGGTACAGCTTTCTTTCTGCCTTCAACAGGCCACACTGTTTAGGACCCAGAGAGACAGGAGAACATGTTAGAGCATGCACTTGAAGGACCCAGAGTGGCACAGCTGCAGATGCCGTGGGGCAGGGATGGCCCTGGATGGCCCCCTCGGGTCACCCTGCACCCACACACCTGCTCAGTCCATCAGTGTGAGCCCAGTGCAGCGCCGTGGTGCGCCCCACCCTGACGGTGAGCACCTGTTCGCCTGTGAGTGACAACGTGGTCGAGGCACGAGGTGGGCAGCATGATTCCCTTCTCCCCACGGACAGAGGCAGTGCCCCAGCTGGACCTGGTGGACCTCCGGCCCACACAGGAGAAAAGCAAGGTACAAGATTGGTGTGTGCTGTGGTTCAGAAGCCCCGTACCTGTGTGCTCAGGAGGAGGCTGTTACCAAGGGTCATCTCAGGTGCTGAAGCAGCAAGCAGTTGTGACTGCTCCCCCATACGTTGTGTACTGTTTCCCACGGCGATTCTGGACTGTGTCAATATTTAGAAAGTGGGAGTCTCCTTCCACCACTTTCCGCCAAGGCCCTGCCCTGAACCTTTGCACCCACAGACTGTGTCCAAGCTCATATAACTGCTCCTTCGAGATGAAAACCCGCTGTCATTTAGCTCAAGTAAGACCATGGCTCTGCCCTCCAGGGCCCTGTCCTCTCGGGCCCCAACCTGTACACCCAGACGCAATATCATGTGACCAAGAGGAAGTCCTCTTCCTTTGAAATGAGAGTGCCTGATTCCACCTGGGCACGGGGCCGCCCATGGCCCCACCTCCCATGGCCCAGTGTGGCTGTGAGCACCGGCAACTCATTCGATAGCTCACTCACAGTAAGGCCAGCTGCCTGGAGTCTGCCTTCCCACAGAGAGGTGGTAACCCAGCCTCAGCATTTGCCCTGGTCCCTAAGCCACGTCTCGAATGCTAGTCCAACTGCCCATCCTCGTGCCCAGATGTAGCATGGTCCCTTTGTTTCCTCTCCTCCCCAGAGCCCTTCTCAACCACTGGCGGCAGTGGGGGCCACAGGCTGGCTCCCTTCCGGTGCTGAGGGCCTCCAGCTTTGCCCTGCCAGCCTGCTTGGATAGGACCTGGTACTCTTCGTCCTTGGAAGTGGGGAGGAGCTTCCTCTTCCTCCACGTCTCCCTTTCTCCTGAACTCCATAGCATCTGCCGTGCAGGAGCCATGGTTCTACAAACCCTTCCCCAGCTTCGTCTTAGCTCTGACCTGTGAGTTAGCCACTAAGCAGCACCTCGGTTCTCTGTGATGCGAGTTCCAAACAACCAGCTTAAAATGATCTTCTGAGAAACCACCTGTGCATAAAGAACTTTGGAAAACTCTCTGTTCACCTATTTGCAAGAAGATTAAGAGTAAGCAGATACCACGGGATGGGCCTGGGTGTTATTTCTGTCCCCACTTAGAGGTCAATTAGCATTCAAGTCACAAAATAACTCTGCCAAGACCAGAAGCCGAAGTATAAAAAACCACTCAAGCAAGGGTATTTAGATCCCCAATCAGATCGACCGGATCTAAGCCAATTATTTTCCTGGCAGAGCTAATTAGAATGTGTCTAAAATGAGTGAGATTTGAAAGCAACTTTCTCTTACTTATTCCTTTAACGGCTGCCTTGAAGCTGAGTCTCGTCCTTAATTTCACATTACAAGAACCTTCTAGACAGGAGGAGGTCTACATGTAGCCTTTTAAAATTGGAACCAAACCATGTTCCTGATCATTTCAACTGAAAGGTTAAATTGGGGAAAAAAAGTTAATCACAGGTAGGTAGTGAGAATGACAAGGGAAAATAGAATTCCTGGGGACGAAAGAGAGGCTCGGGGAAGAGAACAAGAATCTACCCCCCGGTCTCTGCTTTCCTTGCTTAGCATAGGCTAGCCTGAAGCTTTGGAATGGATCCGGCTGAAGCTTGTTGTACGACACGGGGCACTTCAGCCACCAAAGCCCAGCGAGAGCATGTCACCGTCCATGGACCTCAGTTTTGTCACGTGAGAATGGGAATACACCTTTTTTCAGAGACTAGAGTTTGTGGTTTATTGTTCTGACCTTGGGATGATTTTGACAAATAAAATATAAAAAGTTGCTTTCAGAGCAAACACCGTACCAATGACTCTAAGAAAAACAAAGGCAATAAAGCCAAGGGCAGGATTAGTGACTAGTCTGGTCTTGGCCTAGAGAGGGTACAAGCCATGCTGGGAAGGGCTTCCTTGTGCATCTCCTACTTCCTGTCACAAGGACAGCCAGGTCACCGGGTTGCCTCCTCTGCCGTCCCAACTTCAGCGCCCACGCCCAGGCCCTTTCGTGGCCATCCTCAAGGTAGAACCAGAGGCTCTGAGTGCCCAGTTCTGTTTCAAAGCCCAACACACTTTAATCTGTGTGTGGCACTGTGTGGAAGGGTGTGTGAGTGCATGTGAGTATGTGCATGTGTGTGTGTGTGTGTGTGTGTGTGTGTGTGTGTGTGTGTGTGCAGGAGGGACAGGTAGGAGCTGGGTGGACAGCTCCAGGTACTACGAGAAAACAGCAGTGCAGAGAGCAGGGACCTCCTTCCAGGCGCTCTCATCATGGCTCAGAGATGACCTAAGTGCAGGCGGGATGCACCTGATGGGCTGGAACCCATGGCAGCTCCGCAGCACTCGGGCTTCCTAGAGAAGAGGACTTAGAACAGATTCAGGGGAACAGAAAGTAGCGTAGTGGTTACCATGCTGGTCTCCCACATGGTTGACCTCGGTTCAAGTCCTGGATCTGGTGACTTGAAAATCACACCGGGCACATGTGTGTGTATGCCCAGAATCCCAAGAGGAGATGGAGGAGAAAGGACTTTGGTACAGCCATCCCCCTGGGGGTGATTTCTTACTTTCCCTCTGTCTGTCTGTCTTTCAGGTGAGCACATTCAGCCTATGGGGGGAAAATCTTTAAAGAAAGGGACAGAGTCAGAAGACGG